AAAAAAAAAAAAAAAAAAAAAAAAAAAATTTTTGCTTTATGATCAATTTAGTAAATAAAGTAATAATAAACTTTGTAATAGATAGTTTTATTATTAAGGTTACAAAGATTACAAAATAAAAATGTAAGGACAATAGAAGACAAAGTTTGGAAAGTTACGTAAAAAAAAAAAAACAATGGTAATAATTTTACGCTTTAATTCTAAAGTAAATTCATATTTTTTTTTTTAGCGAGTCAATTCAAACAAAAATATTGTTTAATTAAATTAACGCACAAACATAAAAATTTATTAAACATTCATCCGAGAAATTTTATTAACCCAATTTCTGTTAATAACTTGTATAAATTAATCATTAGCCTCAACAAAAGTAGATACTTAATAAGAAATTTGAACTTGTATTATTTTATGACGTTAATAGCGTACTTGATAACTCTCAGTTTTCTAGAATATTAAATAATTCCACAGCGCAACCCCTTCCTAAAGACAGAAGACAGATAACACTATTATTAATTTACGCTAGAATTATTTTAATTGTAAATTTCAGGAATAATTTTTATGACTCATAGGAATATGATATATTCACCAAAAAACAACACGGATTTTTTTTAATAATAATGATACTACGTACCAAATTTGAAATGAGCCCATTTGCCACGAATTTTGGAATTTTAGCGCTAATTATGGCGCCGACTGCGAAGGAAGCACACATAACTTAAATTTGTAATATAAATTTAGTACTCGGAGATGTAAAAAAGTAAAGAATTAAATCGTGCAAAAATGAATTTGTTAACAGTCAGAATAAATTAAAGAAGTTATGTTTTACAAATTATGAAAATGGGTTATGATAAGAGAACGTTATAACGCTATATTAATTCAGGGAGAAATAGTATACCAATTTCTCAAGATTCAATAATTGTGCATCGGATTTACGAAGTAATTGTTCCTGACATTTCTTCTTCTTTAAAGCTAACTGCTAAAAGAGCACCACGTCTATTATTATTAAGTAATGCATCTTTTGCTATTTGAGTTTCTCCACCCGCAACTAATTGAAGCTTTTATTAAACCAATTTGATTAAAAATTAGTACGTATAAAAAATAAAATTACTCAACTCTTAAAGTTTATTACTTTTCTTTGATACTGTTTTAGCTTATCACGTTAAACTTTCAAATCAAGTATGGCACGATTCTGAGAAGAAAATTTGTCAAATAGATCATCGAAAGAGTATGATTTGAAAAAGGAAATGATTTTTTTTGTGCAAAATAAGCATGGGATAATAAAATTTTTTTATTATGACGTCAATATTACGCTAATCATTCGGACAATTTATGAGGCGTTTGTGGCTTTGTTATTATTATTATTATTTAAGTATCAGGTGATTACATTGATTCGATTAAAATAAAATGTGTTAGGTTATATTTTATTTTAGAAAATTAATGTACTAAAGTTTCGTTATATAACACACTGACAACGATCTGATTATTCTGTCACACTTGATAATTAAACATTAAATCAGTAAATCCAAATATATTATGTAAATAATATCGCACTAATTTTATTGCGATTTGCTCAATTTAATAAGCTGGGAATTCTGTACATTTTTTTTTTGTGTGCAAAGGTTAATTGGTTTAATATACTTGATTTTTTAGCAAGAGTAAGCAGTCCATGAAGAACCACGTCGGCAAAACTTTTTTTCCTGCTTCGAACGTTGATTATTGACAGATATCATCGAGCATGTTTTTAAAGGTAATAAGTTTTTACGAATTATCTTGTTAAAATTTAATATGTAATTGTATAAAACATGTACAGTAGATTTTTTGAAACCCTCCTCTATCGCACATCACTCATATCCTTGTATATCAAATCGGATATTCTGGCCGAAATATTTTCCGAGAATGATTAATCACATGACTAAATGTCTATCAGATATAAAAACGATTCATTCAAAGAAATTGTGATACGTAAAACAAGTTTAAATAATTGACAATCAACGAACTGTAATTGTTCTTTGCACTTTTTTTTTTAAAAAAAAAAAAAAATGGCAAATTTAAATAAGGATATTATTTATTTATTATTTAATGAATTACAATATGATAAAAAAACTCTTCAATCATGTCTTTTAGTTAATAAAACATGGTGTGAAATTATTATTCCAATATTATGGAAAGATCCTTGGAAATATTTAGGGAAAGGAAATGATAAAATATTATTAAACATAATATTTTCAAATTTATTAAAAGAATCAAGAGATAATTTAAATCAACGTTTTAAAAATTCATTTATTATATCATCATATCAAAAACCTTTATTCGATTATATTAGTTTTTGTAGACATTTAAATTTCATTGAAATTAAAAAGATAATTAATAATACTATAAATGTTAAATCTGAAATTTCAAATATTGAAAAAGAAATTTTAAAACTTTTTATAAATAAATACACAAATATTACACACCTTTATATACCTCACAAATTTAATCATGAATTAAATCTTTTACCTGGGGTCGAACGTTGCTTTTCGGAACTTAAATTTCTTAGTTGTAATACTACCGTAAAAGATGAAGTTTTAAATGGATTAACAAAAATATGTAAATCAATTAATGAATTGGATCTTTTTATTGAAGTACATAGTAACAATTATGAAATTGTTAAATTGATTGAAACTCCTAAAAAATTATTAAAAATTCGTCTTATGTCCGATTATTATTCAGAAATTGATGAATCATTTTATAAAGTTCTCGAAAATTCTTTGATCTTACATTCGAATAATGTACAACATTTTAAAATAACTAAACAACCTATCACAAATATCCTTTCATCTTTTATAAACTTAAAAAGATTAGAATTGGATGATAATTTTCGTTGTATGAAATGGAAATGTTTAGAAAAATTATCTTTACCTTTCTTGGAAATTTTAAAAGCTAAACATGTTCCAATCAAAGTTTTAACAAATTTAATTGAAAATACGAATGAATCACTTAATGAAATAAGCATTGATTATATAAATCATGATTGGATTAATAATAAAAAAATTATTCAGGCTATATATAAAAAATGTCCAACCTTAAAATATCTTAAACTCGTTATTAGATGTTGTAATATTTCAGAATTAGAAAAATTATTAATTAAATGTCAGTATTTAGATGGTTTATATATTCTTGTTGATAACACGCTTGATGGTTATGGTTCAGAATTTAGTGATAAGGTGATTGATTGGAATTCTTTATTCGAAATTTTGGCAAAATCTTCACCAATTAATTTGTTCAAGTTTAAAATTTATTATCAGATTTCACCTAAATCAGAATTCATAAAATCATTCTTTGATAAATGGAAAGGTAGACATCCTATGTTATTACAATTTATTGGTAATCAAAATACATGTAAAAATTATTTTGATTTAATAGAAAAATATAAAGCAGAAGGAATTATTAAAAAGTGCGATGATGCATTGGAAAATACTTTTGAAGATTTTGAATGGATACAAAAAAGATTTAAAAAATAGTATATCTTATCTACTTTGTTTAAAAATTTTTTATATTTATTAGGTTTTATGTATAGGAAATCATAATTATTATATAATAAATAAATATTGAAAACTCTAAATCTCGATTATTTAATTTTATTTTTTAAAAATTTCTTTATCCATTATTGATACAGTGTTAATTCAGTTGGAGGGTTTTGCATTCTCTTAAACAGAGTTTAATTTACCTTTGCAAGCAGCCTACAGACATTTTAAGCCCATTCAACGCTAGCCCCCCTCGTATTACCGCGACTGCTAACACGAGGTAGTCGATGAAATATAGAATTTAGATATGTGAAATTAAAATTTGCGATCTGGCTATAATTTTGATTCCAGATTATATATTATCGATTTAAATTCAACGTGAGTTTATGTTTTGAAATTAAATTATAAAAATTAAAATAAGATATACAGTATTTGATTGGCTAAATGACATGTATCAGTTTTAGAAAATTCAGGGCTTTCGAGTGTATGCCGAATTGTGCTAAACAATGTTTGTCCTGTTAGTTCGTTCGTTCGGTTGAAGTCCGTATTTGCTTGGTAATCTGTTATTTTTTTTTTTCAAATATACCAGGCTATACTATTTCGTAACTTCAACTAAAATAATGGCTGAAATAAAAAAACTTTGAAATTTAATTATGCTTAAAATTCTTAAATATTCTTTTCTGCCTATTACAATGTACAATATAAAACATAATAAAAGAAATTTTTATTACCAAAAATTATGCGTAAAATAATAGTAAAAAAGAAAATTTTGTGCAAAAAAATGATATTATTCTCTGATCGGCAACATTGTACACGAGTATTTATACCTATTGGGTAACAAATTTTATATGTAATTACCTAGGAGATTTTACAGTGAAAAATTAACTATTGATTATACTATAATAGACGGGTTTGAAAATATGAGTAATTCAAAAATATTTGCATTTTCCGAATGAGAAAAACTTTAATTTATTTGTAATCTCAATACTATTTTCAAATGTATTAGTAATAGTTCCGTAGCTTTTTAAAATTTTTAATCATTTTTTTAAAATCCTTTAAAATGAAAAGCGAAGGAAAATAAGATTCAACAATAAAATTTACTATATTTATACTCACTGATGAGAAGGTGATATACTTACTATTGTGTAAATGACAGGGGAGCAAAAATATCGTTCTTGATAGGTTCGAGTATGCATCTTGATATGTTTATATGGTGCCACCATATAGGTATATCAAGTAGACCAGTCGTACAATGACAAGACCAATACTTTTGCGGCAGGAGATAAATCAATTATATCCTGGCTAATTGGAATGCTAAAATTTTACTTTAGAATCGGATCGGCCGATCTATTTATCCGATTCTAGTAAAAATTTTACTTATTCCTAATTAGCCAGGAATATAAAGAAGTATGAATGTAAAATAAGTATAAATGTATAAATAAGTAAATGTATAAATTATTGGTTCTCGTCAAAATTATCTAATTGATCGTCAAGCTTATGATCAATTTCCTGATACATGAAAACATGCGGTAATATATGCAGTCCTGCAGGTTTCGTAGATTTACGCCCAATCACAAATTCACATGATTACGATTACGTATATGACTGCACTATGCCAATCATGTTGTAGTTGTGATACGTAAAACATTGATATAAGCGTCACTTAAACAGCGTTTTTGTGCTCCTTTATAAAAAAGAAAAATAATGTCCAAGCTAAACGGAGATGTTCTTTATTTGATATTAAATGAATTACGTGATGATAAGAGAGCTCTTCATTCATGTCTTTCAGTTAATAAATTTTGGTGTGAAATAATTGTACCAATTTTATGGAAAAATCCTTGGAAACATTTAAAAAATGGAGAAAGAAAGAACATGAAATTATTATTGGATGTGATCATTTTACATTTATCAAAAAATTCAAGAGATGATTTAACTCAACATTATAATATAAATCCTTATAAAAGACCATTATTTGATTATGTTAGTTTTTGTAGACATTTAAATTTCACTTTAATCAAGATTATGATTAATAATTTTATATATGAAAAAACTAAAATTCCAATTATTGAAAATGAAATACTCGATCTTTTTATTAATAATAGTACAAATTTTACACATCTTTATATACCTCGTAAATTTGATTATCAAGCAAGTCTTATTCCTGGAATCGAAAGTTGCTTTTCAGAACTTAAATTTCTTAGTTGTAGCACTAATATAAAGGATGATGTTATAATTGGATTAACAGAATTATGCGAATCGGTTAATGAATTGGAACTCTTTATTGGAATGCATAATAATAATATTGGAATCATCAAATTAATTGAAACTTCTAAAAGATTATTCGGTGTTCGTTTTATCTATTCAGAAATTGATGAACCATTTTGTAAAGCTCTTGAAAGTTCATTGATTTTACATTCAAATAGTATACAATATTTTAAAATGACCAAACAACCCACCACAGAATTTCTTTCATCTTTAGTAAATTTAAAAACATTAGAATTGGATGATAGTCGTTATAGGTCATGGAAATGTTTAGGAAACGTATCTTTACCTTACTTACAAAGTTTAAAAACTAGTAGAGTTCCGATCAATGTTTTAATAAAGTTAATAGAAAATACCAATGGATATCTTACTGAGATAAAAATTGATAGAGTACGACATGACGCGAATAATAACAAGAAAATTATCAAAGCTATTTATCAAAATTGTCCAATGCTTAAATATCTCAAATTATTGTTCATAAATAGTAACCTTTTAGAATTAGAAAATTTGTTAATCTATTGTCAATATTTAAAGGGTTTATATATTATTTTTGAAGATGCTTGGGTTAATTATTTTACGATTGATTGGAATCATTTATTCAAAATTTTGACTGAATCATCACCAATTGGTTTGTTTAAATTTAAATTTTATTGTTTTTGTATACCTAGATTAGAAGCTTTAAAACTATTTTTTGATAATTGGAAAGGTAAACATCCAATGTTATTACAAACAACACCATTAAGTAATAGTTGTTATGATTTAATAGAAAAGTATAAAGTGGAAGGTGTGATTAAAAAATTTAGTTGTAGTTTACATGATCTTAAAGATGATGATTTTGAATGGAATTAATAGAATTAATAATAGATTTTATATAGATTTCTTTCTCTCTCTCTTTTTTTTCTTTTTTAGTATATTTTTCACATAAATTTCTTATAGAACATTATGAAATAAATAAATTTGATATTTTATATATAAGGCGATATAAAGTTAAAAAATTGGTTCTCATATCAAAATTTGCTTCAATTTAACCCGGCCGCACGGCCTTTTATTTTTTTTTTAGAATAAAATTTTTTTCATCCGATCATGTAATACGGAAGATTTCATATGTAACATTTATATTAATATAACAATTCAATAAAAAGTCAGACAGATTTTATATATCGAGTTAATTACAAGTTTATTTCTCATGTTTTATTGTAGTTTTTTAAAAATTTTTTTTTTTTATTGTTTGTTAAATGTTAGGCATTTACATAGCAGATAGTATTACGATATATCAGATATGCGTACAAATTTAATTTATCATGTGACATAGTTTAGAGCAATTTAATTGGTTAACAAAAATAAAAATAAAAATTTAAGATTCCCGCTCTGGTGACCCGGCCGGGATATGAGAACCAATTTTTTAACTTTATGTCGCCTAAATTGTATTATGATTGATTGTTTTTCTTGAATGTATTAAAATAGCAGTATTTGGGAGAGTATTTGGAAATGACCTGATCATTTAACCATTTAAAGAATTTGTCTAATCATTTTTGTCGTTTAATCATTTCAGTCATTTGATTTTGATTGGTTGTCATCTTATCACATGATTTAATAAAATAAAGTATAATGTAGGCCAGAATTATAGTGCTGACCAACATTAACCTCAAATGTCTTAAGTGAGAGGATGACGTCATTTGTCATTTGTCATTTGAATCATCACCAAGTCATTTGCCGAACTACTAATCAAAATGGTTTATTAAATAATAGCGATTTCCGGAACTGCAAAATGTTTAATTTTTTGATCGACTCAAATACACGTGATCTTTAATAATGCTGGTCATAATTTTGGCCCTTGAGTTACAATAAATCACATGACTACAATTGCATATTTACGCCTATATTGTGACACGTTAAACAAGACAAAATAAATAGTCATTTGAATCGTTTTAATCAAATCATTTTGTATTCTTTTAATAACGCCAAAAAAAAACAAGAAAAAAATGTCCGTGTTAAATAAGGACGTTCTTTATTTAATACTAAAAGAATTACAAGATGATAAAAAAGCTCTTTTTTCATGCCTTTCAGTTAATAAAATTTGGTGTGAAATAATTATTCCTCTTTTATGGAAAAATCCTTGGAAATATTTAAAGAAGGGTAAAGAAAAATTATTATTGAACGTAATTTTTTCACATTTAACAGAAAAATCAAAGGATTTAAATCAATTTTTTGATTTCTTTATTGAATCATATCAAAAACCTTTATTTAATTATATTAATTTTTGTAAATATTTAAATTTAATTGAAATCATAAAAATGATTAATAGTATTATTATAAATGATAAATCTAAAATTTCAATTCTTCAAAAAGAAATTTTTCATATTTTTATTAATCCTTATACAAAATTTACACACCTTTATATTCCTTATAGATTTAATTATGAAATTCATCTTATTCCTGGAGCAAAAAATTGTTTATCAGAACTTCAATTTTTAAGTTGTAATACAAGCGTGAACGATAATATTATAACTGGATTAATGGGAATATGCAATTCTATTAGAGAAATAGAACTTTCTATGCTTTCTAATGAAAAAATTAATAGCAGTTATGGAATTGTTAAATTGATTGAAGCTCAAAAAAAATTATTAAGTGTTCATTTTTTAGCTAATTATCAAAGAATTAATGAATCAATCTGTGAAGTTTTTGAAAATTCATTAATTAAACATGCAAAATCTATACAATATTTTGAGACAACCAAACAACCTATCACAAAATTCCTTTCATATTTTATAAATTTAAAAAGATTAGAATTGAATGATAATTTCGTTTATATGGCATGGAATAATTTAGAAGATATATCTTTACCTTCCTTACAAATTTTAAAAGCGAGAAGTGTTCCAATCAAAGTTTTAGCAAGTTTAATTGAAAATACCAGTGGTTACCTTACTGAAATAAAAATTGATAGGATACGTCATGATGTGATTAATAACAAAAGAATCATTCAATCTATTTATTTAAATTGTCCAATGCTTAAATATCTTAAATTACTTTTTATAAATAGTAATTTTTTAGAATTAGAAAATTTATTAATTAGTTGTCAATATTTAAAAGGATTATATATAATTTTTGAAGATGTTTGGGTTAGTTATGTTATGATTGATTGGAATCATTTATTTGAAATTTTAACAAAATCATCACCAACTGGTTTATTTAAATTTAAATTTTATTATAATGGTGTACCTAAATTAGAATCTTTAAAATTATTTTTTGATAATTGGAAAAGTAGGAATCCAATGTTATTACAAACCACTCAAATGTGTAAAAATGAATATACTGATTTAATAGAAAGTTATAAATCTCAAGGAATAATTAAAAAATTCAATGATAATTTGTACGCTTTTGATGATTTTGAATGGATTCAAAAAGCATTTTAATTTAGTGCACATTTTATTAGTAAACTTAGAATTAGGATAGGATCAGATTTAGTGAATATATTTTTATTATACGGGTGGGCCGTGGAAATTATTCTTATCTTTTATTGCAAAATAACAATTTTTGATGTAAAACAGAATTTATATTTATTAAATTTTTTGTCATATTTAAATGTTAATAAAATTTCTTTTAGATTAAAATATAAATCTGATGATTATAATTATTTGTTATTGTGTCATAAAAGGTATTACTCTTATCTGAAATTACGTTAAGTTTCCATATTGATAGTCGTGTGACTAACAATCTTTTGTTTTAATGTTTTTGAAGTTCATTTGTTTGTTTGGAATGATTATTTTGCGCAGTTGCAATGTATCGACAGGCGAAAACATGATTTATTATAGGAAGCATTGATTACCTTAAAAAAAAATAGATATAAATAATGATCTTAAAATTGAAATTTATAGTTAATTGACGCTACTATGATATTATGTTATTTTGTAGTTACCAGTTGCCGCAGTGTTTGGTATTTGGAAACCGGAAACGTGTATTCCAGTTTTCAAATTCCAGTATTCCAATAGATGCTTCTGGTGTTCCATAAAATTTTATTAAAATTTTGTGTTTCTGATTTTTAAATTTACATTTTTCAGGAATAAGGATGGTTTGGACTTGTAAATTGTAAGTTTTAGTTCGTGAACTTTGTTAATGCTCGTTTCCTTCCATCTTTTTCTAATGGCAGCTTCTTAAATATTCTTCTTCACTCTTGAATGCCAAACCTAGGTGGTGTCAATTTTATTATTTGTGTTTTTGCATTATTTTAATTTGAGAACATTGCTAATCTTCTTTTCTTTCTTCTTTTATTAGGAACAGTTTACTCAGTCATTAGGCCTCACTTTGAAATTAATTTTAGAATACGTTCTATTAGAATTCTGATTAATGATATTCCAGTATTCCTTAAGTTTCCAATGGTATTCCAGTATTCCAGTTCTAGGTTCCAGTGAAAATCTCATCGGAAACTGGAATTTCCCGCAGTTGGTGACAAAAATATAATAGCAACTTGATATGATTTTTAGATAAATAAGAATATTCAAATACAATAAAATATTTGAAGCAGATATATATACACAGTAAATTTGATAAGCCGGATCTATCGGTTCCACTAAAAATATCCGGTTTATCGGGATATCCAGTATAGCGAAAAATTTCGATATACTGAAAATCTATTATACTAAATTTCAAAAAATTTCATGTTAATAAAATTAATATATGCTATAATTTAATTTTTTCATCTTTAGTTTTAAGTCATGGAATCCATGAAAATGAATATAAAATATTTTTAATTGAAGATATAAGTAATACATAACTTCAGCCGGAATTAAAATTTTTATAATTCTGGCCAAAATTAAGATTTACCGCATCACGTTACTTATATTTTTATTGATTAATGATCACGTGATCTGGTTTGTCGAATCTTTTACTAATAAATTGATCCGTTATAGAGCCGAAGATCCAGTTTATCGAATTTCACTGTGTATTATTGTTATTATTCTTAATTTCTAATAAATTTGCAGTTTGATCTTCCATTTTATGTGAAATTCTAAAGAGTTAGAGCATCAACTTGTTTTTTTTTGTTTCATGTAATTCATGTAAACAGCAAAATGGAGCTGAATATTCAGTACAATCAATAAAATCAGCAAGATTTGCTATTGCATGACATATTAACACATATTCTAAAATTCGTCCACAAGAAATTACAAATAAAAATATATATTCTGAAGTACATAACACAATTACTGGCAAGATCAAACCTTTAACTGATCAGGGATTAGGTGAGATACATAGTACAGATGATTTTACACAAGAAAAGATTAAGAAAATTATTAATCATCCTGATTCCCCAAAAGGACTTATATGACACATATTTTGGCATAATGCTTTTGAATTAGCCCTTTGAGGTGTAGAGCATTATAATCTAAAGGTACAACAATTTTTTTAAAAAAAGGATGGTGGTATTGATGTTACATTTATAGATCTAATTTATAGATCTAAGTGTAATCAGAGGTCTTTAAGTGAATCTAATTCTAAAGTTGAAGTAATTTCAATACCTGCTGATAATGCTCATATTCGAGATTATGAGCTTTATTTTAGTAAAAGACCACACTTTTACTTGAAACCTTGCAACAATAATAAAGGTAATATTATTTATTATGTAGTAATATGTTATCCTTTTTTACCTCTCTTTTAATTTTAAATAATTGAGTTTACGGGTTATTGTTTCAAATCTGCTCAAATGAGACAAAAATCGGTAAAAGGACTTATGAAAGAAATTGAATAATAACTGAAATCGATTGTGATAAAAGAAAGTTCACAAATCATAGTGGATGAAAAACTTTTATTCAAATTTCAAAAAGTGAAGGAATTAGTGATATGATATGGTGTCTGCGTCACAGCATAAAATCCTCACTCTTTGGCTTATTATGAACGTCTCAAGTCTGTATTGCAGCAAAGTACATTATCGCAAATTAATTCTTTGATTTATGATGGTAAGAAAAGGATTGCACCTGTGGTTTAATGTATAAATAAATACAATATATTTATTATTTTTCTTTTCATTAAATACATTATTGTCAAATGACAAAACTGCAAATTCTTTTTCTTCAGCCTCAGAAATTTTTAAAGATAAGATTTGAATTATGAACTAATAATTCTTATGGTATAAAAAAATTATTATTTCTTTTTTTTAGAATCATGGTCACTACTTCAGCGGCTCAACTCAAACGAATTAAACGAATGATCAACAAAACAAGAAATTATCAAGATGTTTTCAGAATTGTTTAATGTGAATAAATGATTTTTATATGAATTTTGTTATACATACACTTATAAATAGCTTATTCTGACATAAAGTATAAATAGCTTATTATGATATTATAAAGTATAAATGAAATATCTAAAAATATAGAACAATAATTTTTAATAACGAATAAGAGAAACTAATAAAATAATCCTAAGTTTATGCTACTAGTCGATCAACAAAAATTTAACATTTGTTTGTCATACGTATAATATTTTTCGGAACTAATTCTTTCAAAATTGCATGAATAAACGAATAACTTTTTATTTTAAATATGTCTCATGTTTTTATTCCATATTTTTATTATAATTTTAAATAAATTGCCAATAAAATATATACTGTATATTATTTAGGAGAAAGTATATGAAAGAGTATTAATAACTATGAAGAAGTAAATTTTTCATTATCCCTTCCCTTAATTATATCTAAATTATTTTATAATAAGATATTGGCCTTAATCCTTGGTAAATCTTAATGGATAATAATTAATCATGCGCAATATCATGATAAGGAGGAAGCCCTGTACAAACATTTGCAAATCTATGAATGTCACTTTCTTGAGTATATTTCCTTCCTCTTAAAACTTCTTCTCCATAAACTTTTTTATGTTCATGTTACATTTGCTGGTTGGCATAATCCTAATAATAAAAGTATAATTTCTTATCACAATAAAAATCAATGATGAATTAATATTTTTTCTTTACAATCCTTTGTAAAGTATCAAAATTTTCTCTTCATTTCATTAGATTAAATCTATTATTTAAATGTTACTTTAACTGCCATTTTCTGCATATTCAATTATTATTGTAAATTAGATACATAACACTTCGTTACCTAAGCCTTCTGTAATAATATGTGATTTTATCTAAAAAATAATTCATAATAATTTTATAAACTACCACTACTTGAAGATTACCAACTCCCACCACACGGACATGAAAGATTCTTACCAACCACAGCAACTACAATTACAACAATAACTATTGCAAACAAATGAAATTCAGCAAAACAACTATTACAATAAATAGAAAATGCATTGCTTTCTTACGATCTATACTTCAATTAAAAATGTAAACATTGAAGTTTAAATAATCATGATAAATCTAAAATATAATTTTAACATATAGAATTTAACCAAAATTATTCTACTTCATAATACTAAAAAAAATTGTTCTTGAAAAAACAGAAATCATGAGCTTAACCTTTTTCAATATATTCTGTCAATGAAAGGGATAATACAACTTTACATGTCCCCATAAATACAGAATGTATTAAATTTGTTTTATAATTGTATTTAATGTGTTATAAACATTTGAAATACACAATTAACCATTTAATGCACATTTAGTACTTTATAAAATGGTACAGAAACATCTCAAGACCAGTAAAATTTATTTACATTTTTACTATAGATATTTAATAGATACTAATTAAATAAAATTGAATCATGTTTATTACCAAAACTCTTCAATTCGAAGTCAACAAGGATTACGCAATATTACCATTGGATAAAGAATTCCTGGCATATTATGCCAATTTGTACCCCTGGATTCTATTGTTTTTTCCAAAATTTCTTCTGGCATAAATTCCTTTAATTTCTTCCCATCATACATCCTCAAAATATTCTATTTTCTCAGTTACTTTTTTGACATTTTCCCAACTTTTTCTTTTTATTTTAAATCTTAACCATTCTTGGTTTTGTTCTAACGTTTTTACTTCTTACTTTATTTCTTTATAACCAATACCCATAATTCTTATTTTTCTTTTGAAAACTTATGTAATAATTTTCTCTTAAATCTTCTATTTCTTTAGCTAAACTTCCAGAAATTTCTAAATTATTTTTAATAATTTACCTTTTTCTTCTAGAAAATTCTCACATTTCATCAATTTTCTTAATAATTCTTCAATTCACTCCCGTTATGCTGTTCATGGTAAATGCGTTGCCCTTCATGATAGAATTTCAGATCAGCTGCTTACATAACAAATCGATAAGAAGCAAAATCAAAAACCTTAACATATGATGTGTTTGTTCATTAAACTGCATAACTCATGATAATAGTTAAACTCGAAAGCAATTTTTAAATATATCAGGATTGCTCAGAAATTCC